TAGACCACCAGGTGGCCCCAAGGGGGGCTGTAGCACCCTGCTCAGCCTGGCTTCTCGCAGGAAAGCACCAGCAGCGCTAACAAGGGCAGCTTCAAGCTTCGCCTCAACATCCCTAAGCCCAGGAAGGACAAGGACAAGGTGCAAAAGCAGAAGACCAACAGCGCGCTCCCAGGTAAAGCAGGCGACAACGCCAGGGAGGGAGACAAGCACAGCCCACACTGGTAGGGACCCCCACGTGCTGACCTATCCGCTTCTCGCAGGAAAGCACCAGCAGCGCTAACAAGGGCAGCTTCAAGCTTCGCCTCAACATCCCTAAGCCCAGGAAGGACAAGGACAAGGTGCAAAAGCAGAAGACCAACAGCGCGCTCCCAGGTAAAGCAGGCGACAACGCCAGGGAGGGAGACAAGCACAGCCCACACTGGTAGGGACCCCCACGTGCTGACCTATCCATGTCCTGGGCATGCTGTGGAAGGACCCTCCGGGGCGGGGGGAAGCAGGGCATGTCCTGGCTGCCTGGGGATGTCACCAACAGCCCCTTAGAGTTTAATTTTTCTGGTAAGGGACGTGCAGAGCCGCCCTAGCCTTGTAGCTCCACCACCACCGCAAGGGGAGAAGGGGGTTATGGTACAGCTCAGTCCTTCTGGTAAGTCCCTGCCCCAGGGCTGGGGGGGCTTGTTGAGGGGTAGAAGCTTGAATGCTCCGTAAGTAAGCTAAGGAGAGGAGAAACCTCTCCAGCCTGAGCCTGCTGTGCCCTCTGGCCCTGCCAGAGCTGGGGGGGTGTGTATGTGTGTGTGTGCTGGCTGCAGCCTGCTGCCACTGCTGCCCTCAGCTGCCTGCTCTGCCGCGTCCAGCTGCCTCTGCGGGGGCCCAGTCCACCTCTGTGGTTTTCCTCCCTGATAGCGGACAAGTGGGGCTCCGAGGAGGTGGCAGCTTGGCTGGAAGCGCTCGGCTTAGGGGAGTACAGAGACATTTTTGTCCGGCATGACATCCAGGGCTCTGAGTTGATCCTGCTGGAGAGGAGAGACCTGAAGGTACAACCCTCCTTGTGCCCCCCGAGGAGCACCCAGCCCTGAGGAGCATGGTGTCCTCCAGCCCTCCTCTCCCCTTCCCTTGGCGGGAGGGAGAGGAGGCAGGTGCTGACCCTGCACCCATCCTGGCCCCACAGGGCTGAGCTTACGCCACTTGCTTAACTTGCACGTGGGGGCTGGAAGCAGGGGAGGGGGTTGGCCCCGGCCCTCTGGCTTGCGAGGCTCTGTATGCCTGCCCAAAGCAGGATCAACAGCACCATGCCCCGTCCCGCACCCAGGCACGGGGACATGCTTGCAAGAGGACAGGGTGCATAGCGTGGACCGTGCTCTGGCAGGGAGAGCAGGGGAAGCTGGGCTTTGCAGGCTTGTCTGCCCCCCCACAGCTTCCCTGCCAGCAAGAGCCAAGGGCCTGCCCTCTATGAGTACATCAGCTCCCCTCTCTCCTTCCTGCAGGACCTGGGGATCACCAAAGTGGGCCACATGAAGAGAATCCTCCAGGCCATTAAGGAGCTCAGCAACCCACCCTAGGCCAGCAGCAGGGCAGCAGCCCAGCCCACGTGCTGGGTGCTGCCCCTAGGGACCAGGGCTTGGGCAGGGGGGCTCTAGGTCCCCACCATGCCCCATGTGTGTGGAGCCACTCTGCTTGCCTTGCTTTGTCTGTTTGTCCCCCGGTGTCCTTCAAGCTGCTGCCTTTCCCCAAGCCTGTGGGGCTGGGAACACTAAAGCGGAGGTCTAGTCCTGTAGGCAATGCAGCGTGACCTCTAGTCCAGCCCATGGCTGGGTCACTACAGGCGCTTGGGCTGCTATATGTGTGCCTAAGCTGGGGCCAAAACAAAGATCCCCCCTTCCCCACATGGGTATTTAAGCTGTGTAAATATTTGGAGAAAAGATACTCCTTGCTGCTGTTTGTGTAGTGTCATTACTTAAAGGAAGGCAAAAGGTGTGGGAGGGTGATGGGGATCTGGGCCCTTCCAGCCTTCACGCCTCAGCTTGGTGCTCTCATCCCTTCCTGCTCCTCATTGTGCAACCCCCCCCACCCCACCCCCTGCCCCAACCCAGCAAGGGGAAAACACAGCTCAGGGGCTCAGCATAATCTCCATCACCACCCTCTACCCCATCCCAACAGCCATCACCAGCTCCTAAGACAAACAACATTTTATTGACAGCTCCACATGACTTTTTTCCCCCCCTCCCCTCCAGTTAAAATTACTATTATTTATGTACATGGTGCTCCCCTGCCAGAGAGCACCCAGCTATTTACAGGCTATTTACAAAGACAGGGCTAGCAGTTCTTCAGTATCTCATCCAGCTTGAGCATGTCCATGGGCGTGACTTTTGCAACCTCAAAGAAGACCCTAGAAGGAGCCATGTTGGCTTAGACCTCAGCCACAACCCTGACACCCATCCCCCAGGCCCTTCCAGCTCTCTGCAGCACCCAAGGGTGCATGCTGGTGGTACCACCCTCCCAAGGGGAGGTGGGGTGGGGGGGCAGGCATGAGGCAGACCCCCAGGATACTCACTTGTGCGAGTACTTGGTGCGCACAGCCTTCAGCTTGTCGTGGGGCTGGTATGTGAGCAGGAAATTCAGCCTCTTCACCAGAGGATGCAGATCCTGGGAGCGGTACCCGCTGTAGTACTCTAGCGTAGGGGTCTGCAAAGGGACAGTGAGGCTGAGGTGGATCCTCTCAGCAATGGTACAGCCATCATCTTGCCTCTCCAGCCCCTCAAATATGAGTATAGCCCAAGGGCATAAGCCCCACGCATATCGGTCCATGCACTCCTGCACCCCTGTGGTGCTTCCCAGAGTGCCTGGGGGTAAGGGATGGATGGATATACACACACCCCCCCCCCTTCACCCCAAAACACACACACACACAGCAGGCACTTACCCAGCCACCAAGGTTCTTCATGGTGAGGGCCAGCAGCAGGCAGCTGGCAGCCAGTTTGGAGGGGCTCTCCCTAGCATAGTCGTACTCTTGCAGGGTCATCTCGCAGAGGAAACGGGCCAGTGTCAGCGTCTCCATGGTGGCATGGGCACACTACAGCCAGTCAGGCAGGGAAAGGCTCAGGCTTTTGAGCAATGCTGCTCCCCCACCCCAACTTTTTGGGGAGCTAGAGTGCTGCCCCTGGGGCACGGGACACAGATCCCACACACCCAGCCTGGCACAGACTAGCATCTTCACCCCTCAAACCTGTTGGGGGGGCCTTGCCATAACCTCCTTGCTCCCAGCTGGGAGCCCAGGGCTCCAGGGATGCAAATAGCCACCACAAATCAACACAAGGGGTGCCTGGAGGCACCTTGACACCAGCCCACCCTCCTGCTGCACCCACCTTGGCAAAGCGTCGCAGGAACCGGTAGGGGATGGGGATGTTGATGTCGAACTTGAGGGTGCTGAGGATGCTCATCTCCATAGCAATGAGCTCTTCCCGCTTGTAGGCATCATCGCAGATGTAGAGGAAGTCATCCACGCACGGTGGGCATCGTTCCTGCCAGGGCACAACTGCTCAGCACCCTAATGGGTGCTCATCCTGATAATGCTCAGGAAATCCTACCAGTCTGCAGGCCCTGTAAGGGCTCATGCCCTGCCACACCCTGAAAGGACTGTTAGAACATCCAGTGTGGCTTGTGAGTTGTCTGTACTGCCCCAGCCCTTGGCCCTAACTCCAAGCCTTGCTAGCACAAGATGAACGCAAGCATCCTGGTGGTCTCTGCAGAGCAGAGAGGAGCCAGGTCTCCAGTGACACCAGCAGACAGGATCCAGCCTACTGGGACTGCATTTGCAGCCCTTGGGATAGGAAGGGGTAACGTGAGGACAGACACCACCCCAGCAACGCTCAGGACAGAGGCCTGGCACCACAGGGACCTGGTCTTCTCCAATAATCCATAGGGACCAGAGAGGCACAGCCCTCTCTGCCCCAGCACCCAAAAGACAGCACACAAGGAGTCACCTCAAATTTGGAGGCAATGAGGATAGCAGTGGAGCCGATGAGCTGCAGCTTGTCCCTCATGCTCACCACCTCCACCAGGTAGTGGTCCACCAGCTTCACAGCCAGGTACAGCGTTTCGTGGTTCAGCTCAAAGTTCTCCTACAAGGATGCGGGCAGGGAGGCAGGAGAGGGTGTCAGGCAGAGGCTAGGTCCATCCCCTCACAGGGGCCAGAGGTGCCCACAGGGCCAGGCTCAGAGGGAGGAATGCAGGCTCATCCCCAGCCTAGGGAGGGGGAAGATCAGCTCTGCGCTGGGGACACTCACAGGAGCCTCTGCCAGCATACTGAGGTGGCACACACCAAAGGTGGGGTGGGGGCTGCTCTGTAGAAGGTCATGCCCCCTCCCCATGCCCACATACCTGCACCTCCACCATCCAGTCCACTAGGATGGCACGCATGTGTCCACTTATGTCTGGCTGCTTCTCCATGTAGTCAGGGAGCACGAATTTCTCCTGCCAAGGTACCAGCTGTCAGGGACTTGCCAGATACCACCACTCTCAAGCAAGCCTCCTCCTGTCCCATGCAGGTCTCCACCAAGTACTGAGGGCTTCTGGAAAGGGGGTGGCCCTGCCCACACAATCACCCCTTCCTCAGACAGAGCTGCTACCGCCCAGCCAGGTATCACCCACCTCTCTTCCCTGCATGTATTCGAAGATCTCCTTGGCGTACTCTGCATTGGCGTAGGGGTCACCCAGCTGCTCCTTGTCTATGTCCTCTATTACTGGTACCTGGTGGGATGGAGGAGGCAGCAGTAAGGGGGAGGCCCTGAGCTCTGAGGGTGCCAGTCACCCCTTCAGGGCAAGGCTGCTGCACCTCCACACCTCCTTCCCCATCTGCCCCCATCACTATCCCACTCTTGTCCACGGGAGATCTTCGGAAGAAAGAAGGCGTGGGGGGCTTACCCCCCTCCCCAGCTTCCATCACACTGGCCCAAGTATCTCCAAGGTCCAAAGCACTGCCTGATGCCCCAGTATCACCAGCAGCAGCCATAGACCAGCACCATTAGGATGAGACTAGGGCCCAGGGTGCAGTCCAGGGTCCCTGCCCCCTCCTCAGAGGGCTTCGGTACCTGCGCGGGCACCGGTTCCTCTGGCACAGGATCCTCCTTGGGCTCTGCAGGAGCCTCTGTTGGGGGAGTTTTCTTCATTGACCTGGACAGGACAAGAACATAAATCATGGCTGGGAGGAGGCCACATCTCCTGGCTAAAAGGGGTTTTTCCAGAGCCCTTTGCTGCTCTGGGAAAGCACTAAACTACCCCTAGAATATCCCCATAGAAACTTAGAATCATTTAGGTTCAAAAAGATCTGTTCTTCCCCAAGGGACAGATTTGCAGGTGCTGGCCCTGCAGCATGCCCCCTGTCCCCCATCTCCCCTGGCTACTCACTTTTTCAGGTTGATCTCATTGTTCTTGGCCACCCCCAGGGAAGCATGGGCCCTCTGTACTTTGTGTGGTGCCGCTTTCACTGCTTCCTTCTTCCCTGCCACCACCTGGTTCTTGTGAGCCTGTTTGGGTGAGAATGGGGATATACAGAGGAGTGCACAGAGGGAAGCAAGACGTGCCCTGCAGGGAGACCTCTCCTCCTGCTGACAGGGCACCCCTGCAGCATGCAGAGTGGGGGGATATCCAGACCCACTCCCATAGGAGGCTCAAAGGGGGCACCGAAGCCCCCAGTCCCCACAGATGCACTCACATTGGTGATGTCCCCAAATGCTGATCTCTTCTTGGGCCCACCCTGGGGTGAGGATGGAGACCTCTTGGCCTGACAGCTCTCCTCCTGCAATACAGGCTGTTAGAAGATGGGAGGGCCTGCTGCCCCACAGGAGCCCCCCATACCCCTTGCCCAGCTTGAGACTCACCTTCTCAGAGTTGGCATTCTGTGCAGCAGGGCCCACCTTGCCTGCTCGGGGCTGCTTGGTGCTCAGCATCTTGGCGTTGCGTGGCAATGGCATTCTCTCCCTTGGCCTCTACAAGCGAGCTGGGAGCAGAGCAGGGCTTGATACAGGCAGCTGCCTGCCCCTAGGGACACCCTCAAGGGCTAGGGGCAGAATCATGGGGCAGTTGTCCCCCCTGAGGGGGGTAGTGCAGCAGGGACAGACCCCAACCCCCTCCCTGAGCAGGCGGGTGGTGCCTTGAGGCAACCACAGGGAGGGTGCAGGTCTGGCTACAGGGGTGTGGGGAAGGGCCTGTGTGCTCCTCCCAGGGGAGAGGGGCACAGGGAGCCCCACCACTCCCACCAAAAGCACCCTGCTGGGAGAGGCAATTCCCAGTTCCCTGCATCCCAGAAAAGGATAAGGGCTCCTACTCCCTTATCCCCCCAACACCAGGTGAGGAAGTGAGGCCAGGGGTACCCCCGCACCCCAGGGGAGCAGGAACCCCCAGAACAGGAGTCTCCACCC